CCTTCTTCATAGGTTAGACTGAAAAGTTCTTCAGGTGAGACCCAAACCAAGCCCAGCACAGCCTCATGATCAAACACAACATCAACATATTCTCCCTCACACTCACATGTTGCTTGTAATTCATATCGTACCCTGAATTAAACAATAAAAGGAACGTTTTGATTTTACTGAAATGCAATGGACAACAGATTATTAGCAAAACATAAAATTGAATCATACCTTGGAAAACCTGAACAGGATTTAAAGACTTCTGGACCGTACAGTGGCGTAGCCAAGAATTATACCAAGGTGGTGCAAAAAAAAAACACATAACTTATATTAATTTTTTACAATGAACCACGACGTGTTTTCATAGTCTGAAAAGTATCTAAAATACATTCATCATCCAAACTATCAAGGATGTCACTCTCAATGTAACCAACCAAAAAATCATTCATGACATCATCACTCATTCTATTGCGAAGTGTGTTCTTCACATAGTTCATTGCAGAAAATGCTCTTTCAACGCTTGCCGTGGCAACAGGAAGCAACAATGCCAATTTCAGAAGTCGATAGACTAATGGAAACACTCGATGTTTCTTGAACATTAGGATGAAATAGTGCTACTTGTTCTCTTAACCCCGGATCAGCTTTCAAAGAGTTCACATCAAGTTCATTCTCTCTAGATGCAATGCTAGTCATAGAGTGATTTACCGAGAGGGGTTGTGACACTGATGGCGTAGAAGGAGTTGAATTGGAATCCTGTCCATGTGCTAATGAATTCAATCCACTATTTTCATCTTCAGGAGTATTCGTGGTTATTCGAGGCTTCTTTGGATAATACCTCTCCATAATAGCAAATCTACAAATTCAAAACCAAAGTACACATGTCAAGAATACATAAATTAAGGACACAAACAAATGAAACATCTTTTTGTTTGGTCTGTTACTCTGTTGTGCAAAGAAAAAAATAATTAAAAAACTCTGCTCGAAAATCTCATGGACATAATTAAACAAATAAAGGTGGAATCTTTCGACAAAACCCAATTCATATAAAACCCTAACTCCCTCAATCAAATCCATTTGGCTCCCTCCGCTCCTTCAACAGACAAGCATCATTACACTAACCCAACAAAGAAACCAGAAAGAAAACAGCTCTTTGACAGAAAATTCCCCCTTTCCTCTTTACACTAATCTCATGAACACTCACCAATGAGAGGAATTCGAGTCGGAATTGGAGTTGAAGAGAGAGACTATGCAAGATACGGTGGTTGACGATGGTCACTCGAGCAACCAGCGGAGGAATGAACGAGTTGAGCCTTGAGGGAGGAGCGCCATTTTTGCTTCGTACAGGGGAGAGGGACGGGGAAGATTGGCAGTAGTAGAATTAGGGTTCGGATGGGGGAAATAGACGAGGTCGTTTAAATTTAAGTAAACTAACATGTTACAAAAGGATAAAATAAGTTAAATGCTAATAATGACACAACAAGGAGTAAGTGGCGTGATGGCTGAAGCTGTTTGCAGATTAAGGGAGGTCACCAGTTCGAAACTCCATTACAGCAGGTGTAATATATATATTTTTTAGCTGGGCCTTGCCAGCCCAAGGGGGTGCAGCCGACCTCCCTTGGGTGGCTGTGCCTCCGCCACTGGGAGCGTATGCAAATCTTGTCATTTCCAGCATACAACGATAGAGAGCCTGAAGGGAGGAATTTGTGTTATAATAGGTAAAAGATATGACTATATATTTGGGATATGTGTTATCCAATACAATCAAAACAACAAATATGATACATATACCTGGTACGTCTGTGCATGGAACATTATATCATCCTTTAGCGGCCTTAGCGTTCTTTTGGGAGGAAGAAGACCACGGAGATAACCAATAGAGCAGCGAGAAGTGCTATTGATGTAAGTCACTGGCATTCGATCACCTATGAACCTAAAAAGCAAAAAGAATGTTCATATTGTTTTTCTAGCATCCAACAGAGCAGAGCTGTCAATATATAAACATAGAATTCGAATATAATAATACCTATTTATGATTTTCTCATAATGGTGATTGTAAGAAGCAATGATCAGACGACTTCCAGGTGAAGATTGAAATACATATGCATCTCCAGTTCCATCTGTAATTGGCAACCTTGTAACAGCAGTAATTGTGGTAATGAGAGGAAGTCGAGCTTCAGATTCCCCTGCAAACTCCAAATACTTTGTAACCTCAGTTCCAGAGTAGTACACTGTCGCCTTGTCGTCTCTACACAAATAGCAAAAGATCAGTTAATCCCACATAAAGTCTAACAAACAAAAGTCAGCACAAGAATACGCAAGAAACCTGCTGTTTTCTATGATGAGCTCAATCCTAAGAACACCATTACTTGAAATTTCTGGAATTGTTAGATGAACAACACAACCCGTAACATCTGCAATTAAATTCATAGTCAGCAAATAATCATGAATACTTTTTTGTGAAAACAACTTTCGAGGAAGATACCTCCATAATTCACAACTGCTTCTGCCTCTATTGGAACAGCTGAGAACGAAGTTTTCAGAAAAGCATTGACAGGAAACTTTGGATAACCCGGATTGTCAAGGACACAAAATATGATCTGTTCACGCCTTATGGCAAAGCGAACTTCGGCGGGAACAACACGCCTGTTTTCCCTTGCAGGAATAACATGAAAGCCATCCAGAACATGTAAATCTCCTACTTTAAACTTATGTTGCATTTCTTGAATGTCATCTTCCTCAATACAGGCCTCTAGCATATGTTCCTGTTAAATATGATCTAGTGCATTACTACAATAAAATCAAAATAAACAATAAATATTACATCATATAGACGAATGACAGACCTCTTTGTCAAGACACAGCACATGCATTGTTCTTTTATGCCCCTGAGAGTCATCACCATACTCAATCCATATATTAAGAACTCGGACGATCATAATATCAATATAAGCACCAACGCGTAGACCACGAAACACCTTGCATGTGGAAATTGGGTCTGTGGTAAACGAAAGACAATGAAAAACCCCAAAACTTCACACCTCGGCAGGGTTCATTCATAAACCAACAAACAAAAACTTGAAACAGAAAGCAACAGAGTCGATACCTCGTGGGAGACTTGGAAGTTTGAAATCACGCGGCATTATACAACGATGCCTGATATGGAAAGACAATAGAAGATAAAAAATTTGTTAAAGTGTCAAGAAGCAGAAACAGAATGCAAAAGGGAAAAGTATCGGCGATCATACCCCATGAATACACGACTATCTCTGATCTCGAAGGTGCGGAGTACTGTAGTTCCTAGGAAAAGAAGTTCAGAGAACAGGGGAAGTTAAAAAGGCAGAATCAGAACTGAAATGAAAAGGTGGTGGAAGTTGGTCCCTAAAACGTTTTCGCACCACCATTATAAAATCATAAATTGAATATTCAATGGACCTTCAATTGTTCCCCTAATGGACCGAACAATTATAGAATGGGCTTCCCAAAAGCTATAGAAACTTAATATAAGCATAAAGGCATCTCCTATTCGGGCTAAATATGAGAATACTGGGCCCAATTCATATATCTACTTATATAACGTAAAAGAGGGCCCGTTACTTATATTTATCTATCCGCGCCTGGGCTTGAAGCAAATTGAGAAAACACCAATGTTTCATTTGAGAACACTCTAATCATGTAACCGCAGTTTGTTACTGTCTATTCATTTTTAATATCGTCAATGGGCTAGGTAATACCACACAAGCAGACTAAAGTTTGCTCTTGCTGCATATTTTAAAAAAACATGGGTTGCACTCGGTTCCTCATCTATGGCCATGTTCAACATAGGCTAAAAACCATCAACTGGTTGCTCCTCCTTTCTTGACTACACTCTAAAACCGGTGTAACCCATAATCGGCTAGAAACCTTGGCTATTGATCCATGAACAACACTGGGAAAACTCAACATGCAAGCTACTCAATAGTGCACCTCCCGTACTTGCAAAAGCTGAACATCAAACAAAAGATAGGTGACATGGGAGAGAGATGTCCACCAAGGAAATCAACGTTACATACGACATCATTAAAAAACATAAACAATACCATTACACCACGTACAATAACCATACATAGGTCTTTTTGTTCCTTCTCGCAAGAACTTAACTATTTTCCTTGTACAAAAGAGGTTCATTAGATATACTAACACTTCCTAGGCTTGACTGTTTCTTTGCCCACAAAATGTAACCATCTCCCCTATTGTTCAAAGGACCCCATCCACAAACATAGAAGGATCAAAGGAATAGGTGCAGCAGATCTGGCGATTCTAGGCCTTCTCCGCGTTCTCTCCACGTCAGACATGGATTCTCGGCCATTCCTAGGTGGCCGATTGCAACGACCGCTTGCAAGATCTCATCCCCTTCTTGCTCCAACCAATCTTTTGAAGGTGAGAAGAAAAAGAAAGAAATCAATTAATGATGAGATAAATAATTTCTCTCTCAACAAGAGAAAGTGCATTAAGATTTAAAATGATGAAAGAGTAACATAAATCTCAATCAGGAAAACCCAGAAAACATACTCTGGGGATCTGAGTATCTTCCAATTCCTCTCCGACCCTCTCAAATTTGCCAGTTGATTGCTCCAAGCTCTGCTGGTTTCGAAAATGAGAAGAGAGCCAAAAGTAGAGAGAAAACAAAAGATGATCAATATATATATATATATATATATATATATATATATATATATATATATAAACCATTACGACAGAAACAAAATTTTGAGAGACAGAGGAACAATCACATGAAATCAGTATAGAACCTGTGGTTCTGGGTGTTCTTCGAATCCTCCCTCCCTCTTCCAAATAGCTCCAAATCCACTCCAGGACACTCAAATCTCAACAGTCAAATCACAAACGAAATCAGGAAACTCCGATCGATCCACCGAAACAAACGAAATACAAAGCATCCATAGAAAGACTCACCACAGGAGATTCACAGCTGAAGGATAAATTTCCTAGGTGGCCGATTGCAACGACCGCTTGCAAGATCTCACCCCATTCTTGCTCCAACCAATCTTTTGAAGGCGAGAAGAAAAAGAAAGAAACCAATTAATGATGAGATAAATAATTTCTCTCTCAGCAAGAGAAAGTGCATTAAGATTTAAAGTGATGAAAGAGTAACATAAATCTCAATCAGGAAAACCCAGAAAACATACTCTGGGGATCTGAGTATCCTCCAATTCCTCTCCGACCCTCTCAAATTTGCCAGTTGATTGCTCCAAGCTCTGGTGGTTTCGAAAATGAGAAGAGAGCCAAAAGTAGAGAGAAAACAAAAGATGATCAATATATATATAAACCATTACGACAGAAACAAAATTTTGAGAGACAGAGGAACAATCACATGAAATCAGTATAGAACCTGTGGTCCTGGGTGTTCTTCGAATCCTCCCTCCCTCTTCCAAATAGCTCCAAATCCACTCCAGGACACTCAAATCCCAACAGTCAAATCACAAACGAAATCAGGGAACTCCGATTGAACCACCGAAACAAACGAAATACAAAGCATCCATAGAAAGACTCGCCACAGGAGATTCACAGCTGAAGGATGAATCAGCTCCGATGCAAAGCTCGGATCCTTCTGTTCCTGAAAGAGGCGATGAACAAACCTGAAAAAAGAGGATCAAAGAAACCCCATTTTTCTAGATAGAAAGAGAGAGAATGAACCCAGTCAAGAAAAGAAAGAGAAAACGAATGCAAAGAAAGAGGGAGATATATTTCAAGAGAAGAGTGCTCCTCTGACCTCGATGAGAGAGAATATAGCACCACGGGTAGATTAAGTTAACTGTTAACCACACATATTTTTTCTGCCAACCGTCAACCTCATTTATTCTGCCTCCCTGACCAAGCTCCTATCCCCTGATATTTTTTTTCCCTTCTCTGCTTCCTGACTAGTCCCCTCAATTACCTTTCCAGTTTCAGAAAGTACGCCCAGTCTACATCAGCAAGACACACCTCTCCTCTCCCATACCTCCCTCCTCTCTCAACCTCCGAAACCGGCACGACTCCCACCTCTCAAGCGGGCCACACCTCAAATACTCTGACCTTGCCCTAAGCCACTTGCAGAGCCACTGCAATAAACCCTTCCAGTCCCCCTATGGCCCACCATCTCTGAGTCTCCCACCCACGGATACGTTGATCGCCTGCAGAGGCCCCGACACAGTTGCCAAGGAAAATAGACCGGCCGCCTTATCCAATCAAGCAACTGGGCAGGCTCCAGCCACCGAGAGGGCCCTGGTGACCAACGCGTCCGTGGACCACAACCGATCCAGCAGACCAAAACAGCCCAACGACCAAGTTCCATCCCAACCGACCCGCCAAACACCCGTCCGATCCCAAAGAGCCCCCACCCAACGCCAGCCCACACAGCGCCAGCTTCCGGGTTATAACAGTACATCCCGGTCAGCATGAGCAGTAAAAGCAGTCTGCGTGTGCAGTACCAGGTCCTGCGGTGGAATTTATTTCTTTCAATTTGAATGATCTCTTCTATATTAAAAAAAATCACTTCTTCTACGTTTTGCATATTTAACAAGTATACTGAATTTAGGTTTTCCATTTTTGAATAGGCGGCTTACTTTTGTCATACCAGCCTTTTTTAAACTTATTTTATTGTAAAGTTAGATTTATGAATAAACGATAACTGTCTCTCTTGTTTTGATAAAAAAATCATATTTTTTATTATTATTTTTTATTACTCAGGAACCTCAGCCATACTTAGGGGTGGCTATACGGTCCGGTCCGGTTAAATTGGACCAAATTGATTCGGTCTCAGTCCGGTAATATAAGGACCAAAAGTTGGATTGGATACAGTCCGTTCTTGATCCGGTCCAGTCTTGACCCGGTCCGGTCCCAATTTTATCTTGATTTTAGGTGTTGAGGGTCTCTTATCCAGTCTTAATCCGGTTTTTTACCTCAAATCTAAGCCCGAATATGAGATTGCATTGTTTGCTATCCGGTCCCCGTCCGGTCTCGGTCCGGGTTATACGGTCCGGTTTCGGGTAAAACCAAACAGTCCGGGACCAAATAGCCAGCCCTAGCCATACTGCCACTTTGTGCCAGCGGGTCCTATTAAATTTGGAGGCCACCTGCATTCAATTTGACGCCAACGGGGTCTCACCCCCAGTAGCCTTATACCTTCGAAAACACCAACGGACTTTGTTTGGATTCGAACCTGGATCTACTACTCACAAGTTTTCACTATCGCGACAACTTACCGTTAACCTATTTTATCTTTGGTAAAAAAAATCATTTATTTTACATAAAGGACAAAGAACAATTTGAAACAAAGAGTATGTGCATCAGCCATTTATCCAACACATGTTAAAGTTTTCATGTTTTTTTTATGACAAAAATGGATTTAAGAGGTAAATGAAAATAATAATGGAGGCAAAGATTGCAGCGCATGGATGTTAAATTTACAAATTATAATAAAAAATAAATAAATTAAGACGTATGATGCGGGCCCAAATTTTCCTCTTTGTGCGAAGCCCACAATTGAGGATCACCTCACCTACCTACGTACCAGGGCTGGCCATGGTCACCCAGCCCAACCCACATGGCAGAGCCAACTCAAGCCCAACAGGATACTGGAATTTGCGCCAACTGATCACTCTAGCTCATCGCTACAAACTTCTTTTTCTCCTCGTCAGAAGGGTTGCCATCAGCGAATTGTTTAAGAGTCCATCAACTTAGTATCAATCAATGGCACACTAGTGACTGATTATTGTCTATGTTCAAATAGCTCTACCACAACTGCTTCATCGATCAGAAACATTGGTCCTTTCATCGAAAACACGACAAGTACCTGTTGACGTTATGGTTTCTACAAGTATCTTCTGTAGAACGGACCTTTAGTGAAGCAACTTTGGGATCTATCCCATCAAGTCAAAGCCTTAGCACAAAGCATATGTTTGATTTTTGGTGATATCTTTGACTAACTGTACGCTCTCATCAACTTTATCCATTTACAGCTCCGACTTTTATCTGAACAGATCTGGTCGCGGCCATCTCTAAATAAGACTCATCCTACATTTTTGTGTCATCTTCTATATTTGATTCTTTGTTATTATTTTGGTCAAAATCATAGAATTCTACAAACCAAACTCTTTTACACGACTTGATGTCGGAAAACTCTTTGAGTCTAAGAATATTTTTACCAATTAAGGTTATTTAGAGGTACCTTATGGAAAGATTTAAGATAGGATTTGGAAAAGAAAAGATGGAAAATCGAGGGGCAAAGGAAGAAGAGGGTTGGCCCAAGGTAGGGAGAGGGTAAGGGAGTTTCTGCCAATAATGAGAAATAAAGAGAGTAGTGGTTAGACAATAATTCTTGGATAATTTCATAATAATCTCACATGCCAAATTACATTAATAGTACAATATTTCCAAATAGCAAACCAAATCCAACCCTATTTCCAGATTAATCTCCAAGGATTCTAAAGTTACCCCAAATCCTCCCATATTCTAACTTCTAAGATAACCAAAATATATAACAACTCAATATGAAAGTATGCAGCAAAGGGCACCGTCAAACACAACAAAGGGCGAAAATAAAGCTCAATGTAGCACGCATTGCGGATCTGAAACACCAATATCACAGCAAATGACCAACAACCATAGTGATGAATTAATCAATAACGTCTACCAACCATTCTAAGTAGCCCGATTAAAAAAAGCTTATGAAGAGAGGAATGATCATATATATTCATCGATCCAATTTTTTCCATATGTAATTTTCTAAAATCACCACCTTGTCCTTCTTACCTGATAACATGGAGTATCAAATTCGGAGAAGAATTTAGCACTTCTATTAACTTAGTCTGAAATATAATCAAGGATATTGACCAAACATAGGATCGGAGAATCGAGTCTGGGACGGAACTATAACCTAATTATTACACTAAAAATAGAGCCAACCACTTTCCTGGAAGAGATAGATAGTACGATGCAGGGAGAGCGATGGAGCGGGATTAGGTAGAGACAAGGAAATTAGACCTTTTCCGCCGTAGGATAGGAGAAGCGAGCGACGATTCTCCCAGATCGCGTTCCAACGAGCTCGCTTCCGGCTAGCTCTCTTTCGTCCTCTCTCGTACTTCGACGGAATCAACAAAACTCAGACAAAATAAGCAAACAAGAGGAATAAAAAGACAAAATTGTAAAAGGGGTTTTCATATCCGTGAGTGTAAAATGTAGTTAGTCTGTAGCAAGGGTTACAACAAAACCCTTGGTAGAATGCGTTGCTACCATCTATTTTTGTAGTCTATGTTCTACTCATTTAAATATCATGGAGAGGAAGACCAAGTTGATAAGATTTTCACATATTTAACACATATACTAAATTGATTTCTCCTTTTTTTTTAATAGTAAGCTTACTTTTGTTATCCCAACTTTTTTTACTTAGTTCATCCTAAATTTAGATGTATAAGTAAACCATACATGTTTCTCTTATTTTATATAAAAAATAATTTATTTTACATGAAGAACAAAGACATATCCGAAACAACGAATATGTGCATAAGTCATTTATTCAACACTTGTTAAAGTTTTCGTATATTTTATGTAAAAAATAGAATCAAGAAGGAAATCAACAGTATAATTTATAGTGGAAACTTAAAACTGCAACCCCAATTCAAATTTCCTTGGTCGTAGAGTGATTTTAGGAGGCTGACCTGGCAGCCCATGTAGGCGGAATTTCTGTCATTTTCGCCGACTGCAACCGTCCTATTCCCTTCTTTCCTCTTCCTTTTTTTGGAACACACCTCCTTCCTCTGCCTGTTTCCTTCTCGCATCTGAAACGACCGTAAGCGGCTTGAATCTGCCTCCACTCTCGCAGTTTCGCCGCATTGGCCTCCAACGCAGGTGTACACAACAAACATTGGCTACAAAAAATCCTCAATTGAAACAGTTCACAAACGAAATCCCTAATTACAAGAAAATCGACGGCTCCACTCGCTAATGGACGTTCTCGTGAGTGCGAAGAGGTGGTCGACGAGCACGGCTTTGATCTCCGGCGATAGGCAGAACTCCCTCGCAGGTCCCATTAACCAGCAGAGATTCGCTTCTATCTTCTCGGTCAGGGAATCGCGCACTGCCGCAATGCCGCTACTGCCCAGGCGGCGCTTCTCCCAATCCTGTCTAATCGATTCCTCAGCTCAGTCCAAACTCTCTTCCAATTGGTGGCTGCCTCTGCGCGCATCGGTTTCCCTTCATCTCCCTATTCAAATAACTTTCAGCCAACCGACGATTCTTCATTCCCGCTGGCCGACGGTGTAGTTTCCAGCTAGCAGCAGCTCGCTTCTCTCTTCTCGGCCTCCCATGTATCAAAGGTCCTCCATTTTTAACCCTGCACATTGCTCTGCATTTCCATAACATGCGTTGTCTGCATTGTTTGATTTGATAATGTTCCTGTATGGGTTGTGTTTGCTGCAGAGATTTATTGCAGCATTTTGCTAACCCGAGAACAGCTTACTCTGGTAATGTATTGCTTAAGTTATTTTCAGTTAAAGTTGTGTTGCTTTTCTACTTAGAAATTACACCTAGGTCAAATCAAAAGATCCAAAAGAACAACAAACAGTAGGATAGTGACAAAAAAATGTTTGGGGTGGAAATGATATGATTATGATGCTCAACTTCATGGGAATATGGTAAAAGATAAACTGATATAATTATGATGCTCCTATGTTCTTCGTTGATTTGTGTTGGCCGCTTCGGTTATGTACTGCCTATGTTTAAGGCTCAAAGATTAAGGACATTGAGTTGATTTTGTTTAAGTTTAGAAGCAACCAACTCCAATCTAGGTTTACCAAAATATCCTACAGTTTTTCTTGCACCAAGTTTCATTTCATCTATGTTGTGTATTGAGTGCATTTGTTAAGTATAGTTAGCGTAGGGTTTATTTGTTTTTGCTTAGCAATTTGCAGATGCAGCAGTTGTATCCCTTGCAGAATTGTAACTGGCAGTTGGAGCATGTTGAAATCGTTGACTGATAACATTTAAATTGAGATTGAAGGAGATGTGGCCATATGAACTTGGATATGGGACATTTTGGTAGATTACAATCTGTATGTTCCTACAGGTCAATTGGCTTGGAGATCAAATTTGTTTAAGTTTTGATACATGGTGGCAGATATAGGATGAGAACGTGTATGGTGAATGTTTGGAGATTTGAATTAATTTTTTTTTTGAAAAAAGGGTTAGAGAAGATAGAACATAACCGCTTTGCCAATTCCCTTCTTCTGCCGACCGATACAATCTGCTTCTAGAATTTCCATCCCAATCTGCCTTCGTCTCTGTAAGTTCCATCCCTGGCCTTCACCTATTGGTTTTTGCAATTTTTTGTAGCAACGACATTGTTTGCAAAATTGATCAACCGACAAATAGAGGTTGATAAAACCCTCCACTGGATTTGGGAGATCCAGTTTAGGTTGATAAATCCATCAACTGATAAAGTCCCTCAAGTTGATAATTTGACTCATTCTTCATCAGACTTCGGTATGCTATTCTTGATGTTGTGCTTTACTTCTATTTCGCTGCTGGATTTGGACGATTTGGGTTTCCAAATTATGGGTTCTGGTTTTGATTTGTAGATATTGAACATCAATTGGTTTTAGAAACAGTCTCATGCTAATGATGAGGTAAGGATGTCAACAGCTGCCTTTGTGTTAGCTTCTGTGTTCTCGGGTTTTTCCCTTGATCTTCATGTTATTGTAGTAGGCTCTCAATTTAAGGTGATGAATGGGTTTATACTCACTAATTCTTGGTGAAGTTTCAAACTTTGTTTGGGCTTAGGCTTTGAGGCTAGCTGTTTAAGTATTAGTCTTGAAGGGTTAGGACTTATTGTCTTTCAAGTTAGCTCCTTGTATTGTTGATGTAGGCAGATTGCTCGAAGTGAACATGCCAAGTGCATAAGGAGTTATGGTATTGTGTTGTAGTATTCTAAAGAGGGTTTGGTAATGCTGATATAGGCTAATGGCACAACGTGAACTTGCCAACTGCTCCAAATCTTGTGTTGTGGTATTTTCAAGAGGGTTTAGTAACTCTTGCTTCGATTTCCATTGAGTTGATTATGTTTGTATGCCCATTGTTGGTTTAGATAGACACTTTTGCAAGTTGTGGGATGTCGTCCAAATCCGTTGTTGCGTTTAGAACACTGGTTTCTCCAAAGCTTCGAGCTTGCCAACTGTAATTTGAGAAAGGTAAACTAATGTACCTAACTCAAGCAGCTAACGTTTTGGTGATATTTACTAATATTGACATGGTTATGAAACAATTGACATGACTGTAGAGATAGCGAGTTTATCTTTTCGTTCATCTTAGATGAGTTTGCTCTCTCTTTTCTTTTCCTCTGAAGGTTTTCAAAGGAGGTACCGGCAACGAGTTGGCTGTCACAAATTTCAGTTTGAGGCTTTACCCACGCCGCTACCTGTGGTTCAGCAAATTGATGTTATGCTTTTGGGGAAACAGAATGCTAGCTTTCCCAATCTATGATTTGCACTTCATATGGGTATCAATTATCTCCGAAGTCCTGAGTTTTAGTTGACATTATTGTTTTTTATGAGGTTTTTAATCGAATTTGACCTACTTTGCTTTTGTTTTACATGCAGGTTTATGGAGTTACCTTCATCTCTTACTTCTCCAATCACAGTTAATTGCATCCTTCTCACCGTAGAATTAGAAATTAGAAATTTGGTTCTTATGCATGTAGAATTAGAAATCAGTCATTTTTATCAAGTCCTTGTCTTCCCTCTTGCTTCGTATAGTATTTCAGTCATCTTGAACTTTGTAATAGTATAAAAGGGTAGCATGAATGCCATGTTAGTTCATTTTTTAGTTTGGTAATCTTGAACTCTGTATAAATTATCCTTTTTCTACTGTCATTTTGCTTAACATATATAAATGCATGGATTCTATTATGTTAATCCTAGGAGGATGCAAGTTCTCAATCGATACGTTTTCTCTTTATTTCTGCAGTTCTCAATTAGTATAGACTGTGACCTAACTTGCAACATTCACCATCAGTATTCTTGCTCCGCTTTACTCTCTACTGATAAAAACAAGTTCTAAACAAGCACAATATAAATAAGCAAATTAGTGATGTGTTCATGCCAAGTTGCTCCAACTTTGATATATAAGACTTTGTAACTAGAACTGCAAATATTTGCTTGATAACTACAACAAGGTTGCATTTATTTATTTCTCTCAACCATTGGTCCCCTTCCAGTTACGCTGTTGTGAATGGATTATAGTTATCCCTGACGGATTTTGCTTTCTCATCAGCTTCGGAATGTATTTCTAATGGTAGAAGTCAAACTTCATGCTTAGATAAGGGTTTAAATTATTGCTAAGATAAGGGTTAAAATTATCCAATCTTATTTTGTTGAGTTATGAATGCTTAGATAAGGGTTTAAATTATTGCTAAGATAAGGGTTAAAATTATCCAATCTTATTTTGTTGAGTTATGAAGAGTCAGCTAACAATGAAATCACTAGGACAATCACTCATCCTAGAGAAAGTGAGACTTTAGACCTTTGCTTTTGACGTTTGCCAACTCCAACTTGAATTCGTTAAGGTCATACAACGTGTATGAGATGTCAAATGAATAAAATCTTTATAGAGATGTCTTTCGTAAATTAGGTTTATATAAAATGCGATCAAAATATGTGATGAACTATTATGGATGCCAAGAGGCTTTTGTATGGTAGCTATATAATGTTCTTTGCTTAAATTTCATTGTCTTACTTAGAAATATGTAATCTTTACATTAAAAACTTATACTATTATATTGAGTATTTACTTGAAAAATTAAATTATAATGGGTAATATTTTATGACTTGCATAAAGTATAAAATATTTATCAAATAAATAATTACAACATAAAAGACTAAAAATTCCAAAGTAACCTAACTATTATAATAATAATTGATAAATGTAAATGATTAATGAAATTCATTCGGCCAACGGGCCGAGAAGAAAGCTAGTAGAAATAGTAGTGGAGACAAGATTTTGGTGGATGGATGTTAAGACTACAATCGCTTGTTTTTTCCCCTCCTGTTTATTACTACTAAGGGATTTTGGCCGCGTTTCGCGGCGGCATTGGGTTTGGTTGGTGTGTGGCCATTGTATTGCAAGCCAGTTGATAAGTTTAAGAGCATTCTTGATTAACTTTTAGTTTATATTTTAGGTTCTCAAATCCAAAACTTATGGTGGCAACTCTATACTACGACCCTTTATTGTACATGCAATTGTACACAATTATGAATTTTTGAAGCACAAAATAATGTCATTTATTATGGCATTGTACCCAATATAAGAGTTCCGTAAAAACAAAATAATTATTGACTATGATATTTTGGAGTAGAGGCTATAGATAACTAATCATGCTATTGTACATCATTCTAGATCTTCGAAGATTTCTGTGTACACTATGTTTCTTGTGAGATGCTGGCTTTGTACTTCATCTTTTAGTATAGCTATATGTAGTCCTTCTGCTGAAGGAACATGGGAAACTGCAACATATAGTTGTCCGTGAGTAAAAATTGGTTTGGCAACAGTAATCCAATTTGCTCAAGTGTTTGTCCTTGGCTCTTGTTTATGGTCATTGCATAGAAAAGCCGGATTGAAAATTGACGTCGTTTCAGTGTGAATGGTCATCTCGAGTCTTTGATGTCTAGTACTATTCTGGGAATTGCTACTACTGATCCTTCAAAAGTGCCTCCTATGATGAGCCCGTGAATGATATAGTCTACCTCAGATGCATATCTAAATGACAAAAATATTTACAAAACAAACTTAATAAAGTTAACTCATGCTTATAAATCGAAGCAAGTATAGGAAATGAGAAAGTTAGCGTAACAAAGATTGCCACATACAGTTGCTTCAAGGAAGCAGTTTCTTCTACAGAAGGATCGACCACAACACGAGTCACCGAGGTGCTTGATCCGCAGACGGATCCTACGAAATGATATTGACACGTCAATTCAATACATAAGCTAAACCTTGGAACAACGTTGCAGGAAATGAATATATAGCGATGTCAAAGCTATAGAGAATCCAACCTCTGAATAATGAAAGACTTAAGCCTCCAAAGTCGAGAACAACATGACTGATTGCGTCAGCAGCCATTAAAGCATCAACATCCAACATAGTGGAAAAGTTTCCCCACAATGATCCGAAACAGAAATGTCGATGCACGGTACCGGCATGGTAAGTCAAGGCATCAAATGAGCAGGTTGAGAACTGTACAACAATAAATTAATTCAGCATAACTGCATAAAGAATTTTATTACCTAGCATCCTTCAGTACAATCTTTTGTACTTTACTCCTTCGCCTCCTTGTATATACTAAATCAGGTTGGCTAATAAAAACCAACTTACCTATCATATATGCATGCAACAATAATGACCATTACAAATCGACTAAGAAAATGCACTTACAGAGTCAATGAGAGACACGTACCACTAAGAAAATGGCAATGGGAAACACGTGCAGGATGCACTACAAAGTCTACAAATTCAAATGCCTTCTCAGTGAACCCTTCCGAACCAGCAGTAACATCTTCAAATTTGGTAGCTGATGTTATGAACACATACTGATGGAAACCACAAGCCCAATAAGATGGACGGAGCTCACACAAACTAAAGTCGTGAATGCGATAAACATGCCCAACCGCCAGAGTCGAACTAAGAATTTCAGCAAATGCCTTATGAGAAGTCCCTTCTATCATAGTTACCTAAGAAACACACAAATACGTAAAGTCTATTATAACACGTGTGAATGACAATGGATCCCATAATAATCACTATGGGATTAATAATGAGAAGATATAGATTTATTAGCAGGATTGGCTCTAAGATAAAGCATGAAAGTTGTAGGAAAAAAAAAACGAACCTCAACATCGACCCACAGAGTAGAGAAAGAAAAAAATTGGTCAGGAGTAGTAGGATTCCCAGACTTCGAAATATGCAACAATCTCAACTAAAGGACAACCTCTCGAGTATCATCTGTTAAATCATTTAGCAAAGTAGCCATATTTTAGAGCAGAATATGACAGCAACGAAAGAGGTAGTCGCTAACACAATGCATATCTAACCATACAAATGACTATTTATAATGCAGACCCTGCCAGAAACCAACAGAAACATTCTCCTCAAACCCTTAGTACATACCCTTAGTAGCAGGATTCCCAGACTTCGAAATATGCAACAATCTCAACTAAAGGACAACCTCTCGAGTATCATCTGTTAAATCATTTAGCAAAGTAGCCATATTTTAGAGCAGAATATGACAGCAACGAAAGAGGCAGTCGCTAGCAAAATGCATATCTAACCATACAAATGACTATTATAATGCAGACCCTCCTAGAAACCAATAGAAACATTCTCCTCAAACCCTTAGTACATACATCTGGACTGACTGAACAACCACACCAACCACCTCAAAATTCGCAAAACAAAACCATTAATTACTAGTGGCTTAACAAAACATTACATAATACTGACAGATGTTATTTCATAAGATTAAGATTGAACACCTGTATCTCTACCCATGAGAAGATACATACAACTCTGTCAAGGTCAACTGTACTTCAATCATTACAAATGTCTAACTTAGATCATTACTCTAGCTCCATTATTCAACTTTTACTATTCACAAATAACACGTGCCATTCTCTTCTATTATTGCTTTGATCTCTCTTCTATGTTTTATTATTGTATGCAAGAACTGGTCTTCTACATCTTACTCTCTTTTTACATATTTTTTCTTGGCTTAATACCTCATTTTGGCCCGAAGCTTGGCGTTAGTGATGATTTTGCCCCCAATTTTTGAATATTACACTTTTGGCCAAATTTTCAAATTTACAGACGTATTTGGCTCGTGTTACATTTTTACCGTCAGAAATGACGGTGAACTAATTTCCCCGTAAGTGAGTCAGCAACATTTGCTGACTCGGAGCGCCACATCATTAAATAAATAAAAACAAAACAAAACTCGACCGTTCCCTTTCCTCCCCCACCTTTCCCTTTCATTCCCCATCTTTCCCCTTCTTCCTCTTCATCGTTCAATGCAACCCCACCCTATCAAAGAAATTCGACCAGGAATTAGCGTCAATTGATCGTGCGCCCGGTGAATCTCTGCCGGCGCGGCGAAGATTCATCTCCTTCCCCTTCTTTCCCTGTCCTTCCCTATCTTTTCCTTTCTGTTTTTGACGATTCTGCCTTCCCCCGCTGATCGACGAACTCCGAACTAGAAGCAAACAACAGCGATCGCGCGGCCGGTGAATCTCCAATCGGTGGCGCGATCCCTGACTCTTCCTTTAGCAGCCAACGATTCGTCTCCCCCCTTCGCCCAAGTGTTTTTCCCTGCCCTGCCTTCTGTTGGAGAGAAAAGCTACTGTTCGTCGTCTTCTTGTGGGACAAGTTTAGGTCGGGACCACAGCCACGAAGATCGGTTTTTCATCTATACAGGTAACGATCTTGCTATGGTTTTCTATTGTTTAAGGTTTTCGATTCTGAGAAAGTCGCCGCACTCAATAAACAATTGCCTTTTGTGCTCTTTTTGGGTTAGTGAATATGAAGCACGTGAAAGTAGTTTACAATTGGCTGTTTGTATGTGTTTGTCTTGTTTATGCTTTGTTAACCATAAAGAGACCATAAACAATTCGTCCACTAATATATAACCTAATCTGTCCATATTGTACAGGATGAGCATTCTACTTGTGCTTCGTCATGGGGGTATGCTGGATACATCAGAAGCGGTTCCAAATTATGTTGGTGGTGTTGAAGACCGGGTTGATGTGGTAGTTGATGTTATGTCGTACTTTGAGCTTGTGAGTATTTTGATTCAGGATTTCGATTACTTGTCGGTTGAGAAGATGTGGTATTTGACTCCGAGATAGAGCATGGAGGATGGTTTGCACGAGATTGCCAATGATTCTGATGTGATGAATGGGTTACTTGGAGATGTCGAGCTAGGGGAGGTGGTGGTGTTTTTTGAAGCAACCAAGTTTCTCGGTGAAATGGGGGACAACTATGGGAATAGTGAAGATGTTGCAGATGAGGAAGGAGACAACTCTGGCGTTGCAGAGTTCATCCGGTTAGATGATTATGAAGCTCAGACTTCAGATGAAGAATATCATGATATTATGGCCCATTTTCGTCGCATGAGACAGATATGCATGTTTGAGGCGACTGGATCGAGGGAAGAGGTCGGCCTAGTATTTGTAGATGAAAATGAGGTACAACAGAGTGTGCAGCAGGAGGATGGAGAGCCAGAGCAGGAGCAGCCAGAGGTACAACCTACTGTGAACGAGGAAGAAAATGCAGGGGAGGGACAGCGAACAGATAACATGGATGATGTTGATGTTGAAGGGAGTGAAGCTTCTATCTATAGGGGTTCTGAGGACTCAAATCATGTGAGGGAAATTTAGATGAAGAAGAAGAGGTGTCTATGATCGACAAGTGTCGATTTTATGATCCAAATTGTGATCATAAAACACTTTTAATTACCACACATATGAGGTTTGCTAATCCCAAGCAGTTTCAAGAAGCTATTACAAAGCATTCAATCGAGATTGGAGCTGATATTAGATGGGTGGGCAGCAGTGAGAAGAGAAAAGAAGTTGTGTGTGCCCAAAAGTGTGGCTGGAGGGTGTATGCAAGTTGGTATGGGAAGAGGGAGACTTTTATGGTGAAAGGTGTTGGGACTCCTCATGACTGTCCGTGTAATTTTCGCATTCGAGGTGTTACTTCAAAGTGGATAGCTACTCAATTTCTAGATTGGTTTAGAGTGGAGCAAGATTGGGATGTGAATCTCATGGGAGCTGAGATAAAGCAGAAGTACAATATGGAGGTGACACTGAAAATCTATTACCGAGCTCGGATAGAAGCTTGATGCATTCTCCATGGCTTTTTACAAGAAGATTTCAATCGGATTCGGTCATATATAGGTCATCTACAGCTTGTTGACCCGGATGGAACCGTCCGGCTAGAGGTGGATTTGGACCCAGGATCCGATAATGTATTCTTCAAGAGATTCTATGTTGGTTTTTCAAGTGTGTGTCGTGGATTCTTGGAGGGCTATAGGACTTTCTTCTGTCTAGATGGGTGCTTCTTGAAAGGGGAGGTCAAATGGATGTTATTTAGTGTTGCATGGGCAGTCATTGAGTCTGAAAACGGGAGTTCATGGATATGGTTCTTGCAAATATTGAAAGAACAACTTGGGCTACAAGATGGAAATGGGTGGACAATTGTTTCAGACCAACAAAAATGAGGAAGCTGCCTGGCCGTCCAAAGAAAAACAGAAGAAAAGAGGCAGCGGAGTTGCTAACAAGGCATGCTAAAAGTGCTAGTGGAGAGATAGCTACTAGGCACAACAACCGGGTTCATTGTACTCGATGTGGGGTAGAAGGCCATAATAGGAGGAGCTGTACCAACCCAGCAATACCACAACCACCTCCTCCAGCTCAACAAAGGCCTAAGCGAGCTCCAAAAAAGAGACCTGTAGTACCACAACAACCTACTGAGAATAGAGTAAGTCAATTTCATATTATGTTAATGATTGACATGATTTAGCAAGTTAATCTAATTTTCTAGTTTTCTTATTGTTCAGGAGCCGAGTAAAAGAAAGTTGCACTGTTCTAGGTGTAGGGCAGACAACCATAATTCAAGAACTTGTCCGTTGAGGGTTGGAGTTCAGGTATAATGTTAAAAAAAAAATCAGATGTAGCTGTGCGTTGTATATTTCAGCTTAGTGTCTAATTACTAATTAGAGTGAATTACAGATTGAAAGCATGGGAAATTGTAGCCGACAAGTCATGGAGAGGGAGGTGAGGAGGGCTATGCAAGGAATCGGCACCTACATTGATCCTCATACTGGAAACATGTATTCTCGGGTAGGATTCGACCATCACATTGTATTTTTTGTTTATTCTCTTGCTTTAAATGTTTCTAACCATATGTACTATTGCAGCTAAGTACAAGGGTTCCACAAGAAGGACGTAGGAGCCAACCAACTGGACCAGATCAGCTGCCAATGAATAGCACACCGCTTCCAGCCTCTCAACCCGGGACACAGTAGTCTATGTTTGAAGCATCAATATCAATTCCCTTCTTTTGTATTTTGAACATGCAGTAGGTTGTAGCCTTGTATGTGGGAATTTGAACTAAATATAAGGGGCCTAGTATTTCCTTCCTTGCTCTGTATTTAGAACAGGTAGTTTCGGATTGAAGTGAATGGTGGAAATTTAAACTCATGTATTGTGAACATACAGTAGCCATGTTTCGGAATGAAGTTAATGGTAAAAGCAAGCTGATGATTCAGAAAATACAGTGGAGCTGTTCTTCTGTTACATAGACTCACACAAAGCTTACAGTACAAGCATTAACATAGAATCACATAAAGCATTTAACACGAGTAGCTACTTCTAAACCAACTCTAAACACCAAGACAAACCAATCACAAACCATCGGTTTAACTACGGACCAGCCAACTAACATACCAAATAACACAGAAGAAGCTAATAGCGATACAAAAAGTAGTAATCCTACTCTGCAGTGCACACACAGTATGTCGCATTTTCTGCAATTCAACACAATTACGAGTACTGATATATGCAAACTTTGCAACTCTTCAGCCATATATAACTTTTGTTTCTTCGTCTTGTTGGCCTTCTCTTCAGTTTGTTCAATTTGACCTTCAAATCGTGAAGATAAGTTCTCCATCTCTACTTCCATCTCAACCAATCTTGACTTCAACTGTTCATTCTCCTCTATCAAACCATCTATATCACTTGCCGATGTCCGCTGACCAACCCACTTGAAGTACTTACAGTTCTTTTTGGTATCCTACATTACCAGAATTCAAATGAATCCTTAATACCGGGATTTCGACAACAAGAATGCAAGAACATATCGAAAATCATCATACCTTCCAATATGGACAGGAATAGAACAATCTCCCCGGATTATCTGCTATCCTAGACCTTTGCACAATGCACGGAACATTGTGGTCGCATCTCTCCACATGTCTGTTGGTAGAACTTGAAGCCCCTGAACTTGCAATTTCGGATTTACCTCCCTTCTTAAAATATGACATGTTTCCTTCCTCACCTGTCGGGTATGGTGAGAACAATAGGTAAATAGATCTATTGGGGAGGGGAGGCGATTAAGAAAGATTGCGAAGTATGGCGACGATGAAGGGAGACGAGGTCTGGGCGGCGACGAAGAAAGATTGCGATGGATGGCAACGAGGAAGGGCGACGAGGTCTGGGTGACGACGAAGAAAGATTGCGAAGGATGGCGACGACGAAGGGCGACGAGGGTGTCCCGTGATGGAAGGAAGCCGACCAACGACGGCGACGCTCGCGCTCGGTGGAGGTGGGGGACGGCCAATGATGGCGGCGCTCGCGCTGGGTGGAGGAGGGTAGACTGGCGCTCGCGATGGGTGTGTGGAGACGGAAGCAAATAGCAATTGGGGGAAAAGATAAGGAACGGTCGGGTTTTGTTTTTTATTTTATTTATTTAGTTAATGACGTGGCGCTCCAATTAAGCAAATGTTGCTGACTCACTTATGGGGAAATTAGTTCACCGTCATTTTTTACGGTAAAAATGTAACACGGGCCAAATACGTCCGTAAATTTGAAAATTTGGCCAAAAGTGTAATATTCGAAAATTGGGGCCAAAATCGTCACTAACGCCAAACTTCGGGCCAAAATTGGGTATTAAGCCTTTTCTCTTCAGCATTAGCATATGTCATTTCTGGACAGCCTTATCCATGAAAATGAACTTTTTAAATACATCTTAAGTTTTGCATAATTAAGTCTTAAACCTTTTGTTCCATTAAAGGTTCTATCTGATATAAATTCATCAAATAGGGACACATATTGAATTATGGACTGATATAGTCTTATGCAAACAAACCTGAAATTAACCACTATAGATTCACTCATGCTGTCTACTTCCATGAACAAACAATTGAACATGTCATTTTTAATCAATAAGGCAATGTAATTCAACTGTGCGTTCAGCTTGAGATCCAAAGCTAACGAAATAACCACCCTTGTGAAATTCAATTACCATACATAGTAAGCTCCAATAAAACTTGCAGACCTCCCCTAAATACCAAATGTAAAGAGACAACACCGTATCTAGAAGGAAGAACACAACGAATCCTATATGTACATATGAAGCAATTTGGTTTAGATACTCCAAAATAACCATACCTTAATCTAGCTCTGAAAATAGAACTACAACTAATGCCTCCGAACCTCTGCATCAGGACCAGTCCGTCGACACCCTCTCATCGAGCAAATCTCCTCCTTCTAAACCATTCCCTCTCCACAACCCAATATACTACCACCCACCAATTTCCCAAATCCGCCATCGCCTCCGTCGCGCCGCCACCGTGACCACAAAACCTACTGCCAAACTCCATTCCCTGTCTCCCATCATCATCGCCGCCACTGTGACCACAAAACCTACCGCCAAATCTCCCTTCCCTTGTCAATCTCTCCTCCGTCGGCGTTGTCTTCCCCGCAAATCGGCTGCCTGCTCCGCCGCCAACTCCAATCTCTCCTCGTTCGACCTCTGTGCCATCGCCAATTACGTGTTGGAAACAATCACGCGCTAGCTACACAGATGGAGAAACGATCGGTGAATAAAGAAAAAGACCCAAATAAAAGCCCAATTAACAAAACAAGCCTAAAAGCACAAAGCCCATGTTGGGCCTGCAAACCAGTGTCTGTGACCTAAGCAACAATAACCCACAGAGCAAAATAGCAAATCTCTAGTGCAAAAGTAACCTGCTTCTAACTTTAATTATATTTAGGAATTTCATTGTCGAAAGTTTGTTATCACAAAAATATAAAATTGTTATAGATATATGTGTTTTTCATATCAT